TAACATACTACATCTGCTACTGCTGCTTCCCTTTATTACCTGATAGACTGGATGCTTATGATAGTTCTAAAGTGAATTCCAGAATGAAATAGTAATCTTATAGCCATCAATGTACAGCCCAGCTTTCACCACTCAGACAAATAAGCATCTCATCTTTAATCATGACACTTTTTCTTGAAACAAAATACGCTTAAAAGCCCACACGAATAGAAGGAATACAACTGCACATTATTTCCCCCTTTTCATTTATTCCCATGTACTCCCATTCATTCCCATGTAGAAGTTACAGAAAAAAAAAAACATGTATGTTTGATAGAAAGGGTATCAGACCCAAAAAATTCAAGTACATTTAGGCAGATACTTTGGCCCAAAGAATAAAATTAATCTTATTATCCTTATCAAACAGGACAGTTTTAAAATAATCCTTAATGTTCATTTCCAGCTCTCAAAAAAAAGTATCTTTGTGCCTTAATTTTATGGAAGACCTGAAATGAAAGCAGCAAACAAGCAAACAAGCACAACTCTCTGACTTCACAGTGATAGTCACCAACCAACTACAGACTGAAGTATAACCCTCTGACTGTTCTGCATAATAACCACTGCATTTTACTTGAAATGACTCTGCATGTCCTCACACTTTAAGCTATTCCATCCATGAGTTAGACATGACAGCCTCTTCTGAAACAAACCACAGAATGGTCTGGACTACTGGAAGAATTTTAATACACAGATGAGCGAGTCTATTTGAGACTGAGAAACACACAGCATAATCTTACAGGAGAGGTATGCCTCCACATCTGGAGATGTTTACAAACACTTCTCCCAGAGTTTCTAACTCCAGTCTAATCAAAGCTCTGTCCTTCCCCATAAGCAATTTATTTAACCAAGAATTAAGGGAAAATGAATCTATGTATATGTCCACCTCCCTCTGAACTGAATGTGGAGCACTTTTTGCAGAACTCACACCACATTTGGCAGTTAACGGCACTGCAAATTTAAGCACCAACGACTTTTTTCTTCTTTCCTAAAAATGCTTTAACAAAAGAATGGAAAGACCAAATAATCTTAACTAACAGCAGTTTCCACAGCTTCCAGAATCTGGCTCCTGCAATCATGACTTTGTTTGGACTAGTGTTTATTTTTTTCAAAATGCATTATTTTCATAGTATTCTGAATCTTCCATACCAGTTATTTAGTAATTGTATAGATATAAAATTTAGCGACCATGACCTCCCTATGGTAACCACTGACAATCTTCAGTAAAGCCAATAAAAGGTGCGCTTGCAAATCTCTTGTTAAAGGTAGCTTGAAGTCATTAGGAACTTACATACTTGACTCCAGCATGCAAAGATGAACAGACCCCACACTGTAACTTACTCAGTAATTTGGATTTTTTTTCTGAGGAGCAGAACATTCCTATGTGAATGGGCAGTTAGTATGCTTTACTGCTCATTTGCCAGCAATCAAATCCATTTGCCATCACGGCTCCCATCTACCTTTAAGCTCCATCTAAAGTAACTTAAAATTTAAGGTTTTGCTAGTGTTGTCAGATTCTCTGTAAAGCACAGTCAAGTTTGCCTACCTCTTATAATTAACTTTAAACTATACTTTCCTGCATAGAACTTCTCTCTCTAGCCCTTCATCTGCTCAATTCCTCTCAACATAGTGTCCTCTACCCAACCTATCACACCAGTTCCATCAGTCCTCTTCCTTTCACATTACCCTGTGCTGTGCTTAGTTCACTATTCGAAATACAATTAAAATCACTTCATAATATAGTTCCATCCTGACTTTAACTGCATATTCTGGCATATAAGGAATCTCCTACTTTGCTCCATGGCTGCCTTCAAGTTAGGGCATCAATGTATGTATCAAATATTCCTAATGAAGAATGACTAGCCAAATACATAGCAGAGATAAGAATTTTCTCCAATTCTGACTGTTGAACTGCTCCTCTCCTTTCTAAAATCACTGCTTGCCATCTTAAGTATAAATTCTCTAGAGCAGAAAATGCCTACTTCCACTGTTGCTTATCTGCACACCACCTATCACAAGGAAAGCTACAGGTAAAACACCCACGGTCTTAATACAAATTACGACCATGAAAATTAGCTCTTCAGAAACAGGTCTAACAGTAAGTCAGTGATGCTCAGGATAGCAATTCCTTTTGGAGATCGCATGGTCATAGATGATGCCCAATAGGTAGGTTTCTGTTAAGAATGCACATCTTTCTTTGCTACTTAAGCACACGATTTTTAAAAGCACTTAACACTGGGGAGCTGTATTGATAATTCTGATTACTTAAGAGACCCTAGCAATAGTTAGGTCAATAACTGAATGCTTCAGATCACATCTTTCATAGAAATTCTTGGCCTCTTTTACTGTTATTTCTATGGCGGTTTAAGGAGATGTGTGAACTAGAAACTTTCAGTTGATTCTGTAAATATCTGATTGCAATCAAACATAATACTTCAAACGTATGCAAAAATACAGGGGTAGATAGAAATTTATTCTGTTAGTTTGCAAATGAACACTTACCAAGGTTACTTCATATTAATAACGACTACATGTAGCACTATGAATGCCAAGTATCTGAAACACAGATTAGAAATCTAATCAATATCATTTTCACCACCTTTGACATGCAGTTTTCTGATCAGCCCAGATCAGCTTGTAACTGAGTCACTACTGCCTGGCTCCATGAGAACACAGGCCTAACTTGTTTCCTTTTCTTTACATGCTTTGTATATCTACACATTTGGATATTTTGCAACTTCAACAAGAGCATCAACTCAATTAGTTTCTATGGTATAATTACCCTGCTTGGGTTTGGCCTCATGCCCTAAAACACCCTTTCAATAATGACCCAGAAAGACACTGTCTAGCTGGTCTCATTGCTTGAGGGCATCACATCAGAACAGCAGTAACAACGTGAACAATGTTCAGTTTTGCTCTAGACTACTACGTGTAAGTAATTCTTAGAACACTTGTAGCTTACTAAATTACAGCTTGCTTATGCTGACAAGTTACTAATTGACTAATCAAATTTCAGACAGCTCCATTCTGTTTTATTCAGAATTGAGCCCACGAGAGTAATTCAGTTGGTTATGACACTCAGAGGCTTAGCAAATACTCTAAAGGCTTCTGAATCCTGTTAAACCTTATGCAGTACTTCCAAATCCATACATTTGAAAGTCATGAGTAAAATACTGGTAAAGCACAGGTTTTCTTGTTATTCTGGTTAGACCTCAAGCTAATTCATCAGAACCATCACAAATAAGAATTTAGCTAAAAAAAAAAAAAAAAAAAGAGTATTTTTCACACTTTCACAAGATTCACAGAGATGCGGCTTTCAGAAAAAAAAAAAACAGAAATAAATACTGTTACAGTTGGAAATGCTACCTTTAACATCAGCATTCCGATCCACACAGCGACAATACACAGGACAAAAGGAATCACAATAATATCTGATTTGCATGTTAGTAACATCTGAATATGAGCCTGTGCAAAGTCCAAAGTTAAAAGGCTGACATTGCCTTCCATGACACTTAGATCTGGCCAACAATGAAGAAAGATATGCATAGGGGGAGAAAGGAAGGGTGTACTGCACCCTGACAAGTCAGCACTGCACAGGGTGCAGTGCCTGCCAAAGGGAAAGAGAGGCCTGTACCAAGAAAGAGAAGGATGTGAGAGTTAGATCCAAGACCTCAAAAGAAAATTTAAGCATACCATGAACACCACTGCAAACCTTGAAACATATTCAATCTTATGAAATCAAATGCCTCACAATAAATCATTAATACTAATGCTATACAGCAAACTTGGTTGTCTGCAACATCAAGTTCTTACCTCCCCTTCACATACACACTAATAAATATTTTGCATGTATATTGGGCTTTGCATTCACATACTGCAAGGCATTCACTTGTGTCATTTGAAGGAACTTATAAGCAGCTGGTCTGTAAATAGGACATGAAAAATACAGTTAACAAGTGCCAAAACCACTTGAAGCCCACATAGAGCAGTATTCTGTACTAGCTGTTATTCCTAGACTTCTAGCATTTACCAGCAATTTCTTTAAGGTCTAATAGTTCCTATAACGGATAGCACAGTATTTCTATTAATAAACTACCACACCTGTTTGTGCAAAATAAACAAAATCTGCTTCCAACAGAGGAAAGCTACAAACCACTGAAATTTAACAGCATCAGAGCAGTAAGAGATCGACATCAAAGCAACAAGAGATCTGTCCCTGCCCATTGCAGGGGGGTTGGAACTAGATGATCTTAAGGTCCTTTCCAACCCTAACTATTCTATGATTCTGTGGCAACACCCAACAGTGCATGGCATACTGCAGGCCAAAGCCTGGCCTGTGCCACCTAATTTTAAGTCTATGATTAAAAAAATTGTACAAACATCTTCACGGTTAGTCGCAAAACAACAAAATGAACAGGGCAGGGTCCCACGTGTGTAACAACACCGCAGGCTACAAGAAAACCAACACAAGAGTGAAAAACGTTAAAAGGTGCTCGCTGCCACCTCCCAGCAGCAAGCAACCCATTGTCTAGCGGTTCCTCCCGAAATCGCATAGTTAGGAGGCTGTGAAGCTGGGAGCGAGCTGGCAGCCGGGTACCAGGCGGCATCGCTGCCTGGCTCTGAAAGCCGGGCCGCTGCTCAGCATCTTGGTTTCGACACCAGCAGCGGAGGGAGCCACTTCCCGAGGCTGCGGCCGCATCCCCCCACGGCAGTAACACTTCGCATGCCGCTGCTCGCATCTGCCCGCCGCGACCTACGAAACGCAAAACCACGAACACAGATGGAGTTAGCAGAAGCCCCCGCGGCCGCAGGCACCCCCCCCCACCCGCCGCCCCTCCCGCCCAGCAGCGCTTCATATGTATCCCGACGGGGTTAATACTCAAGGCCCCACAGAAACGGGCAGCCTCGCTAAGTTAGTTAGCAGCAACACATTGTCTAATTGCGTGCCCTAGTTGGTGACTCACTCAAAGGCTCACCCCTGGGGACTGATGGATGAGGAGGCTGAGATGTGCAGCGGAGGGAAGAAGGCAGGAAGGAAGGAAGGAAGGAGGGAGCAGCCTGGCTTGGTGGTGCCCAGTTTCCCCCACCCCGTGTGCGGCTATCGAAAAGGGGGAAGAGAGGGGCAGGAACTGAACCTCGTCCCTTCCCCTCCACGCGCTGCTTGGACCGAGGCAAGAAACGAGGGGGACGGAAAGCGGAGGCCTCTAGCTCTCTTTCCCCCTCCCCGGACCCCGCCGCCGCCACCACAGTGGCCGCAACTCCGGTGCTGAGGCTCACACGCTGCGAGGGGGGGGTAAAATGGCGCCGCCCGCTGGGAGGAGGGGCCGGTTCCGCCACACAGCGGCCGCAACGCGCCGCCGCCTCCATCTGCTGTGTGGCAGCCGCTGCCTCCCAGGGCGAGAGAGGGAAACCGGGGCGGGGCTCGCCGCCGCTTCCTCCCTCCCAGCCGTTTCTTCCCTCCCCCGTTGCTTCCTCTTTCCCCGCCGCCGTAGCTCGCTTCAGGCCGCTGCGGGATCGCTTTCCTCCGCCCGCTTCCCGTAGGTGCTGCCTGGCGGCTGAGGGGAGGGCCGGGGCGGCTGTGGCCGTCGCCGTTCCTCCTCAGCGCGGGGCATCGCTGGAGGGTGGCGATAAGAGGCTTCAGAGCTGCTCCCAGGGCCGAAAGCCCGGAAGGGTTTGGGGAGAGGAGGCTGGGTCCTCTCTAGCACTCACTTCTACAGATGCCTAGCCTCGGTGCAGGTGCCAGCGCACCCGTATCTCTGCAGCTGCAGCATTGTAGAGGTGTTTGACAATAGCACAGAGCCTTCCCCTTGGTGTATGAAGGAGCTATCTGTGTACACTTTGCAGTTGGAAATACCGGTGGATTTTTGCTGCAACACGACAAGCTGTACTACTTCTGTACTGCTACTACTGCATACCATTAATGGTTCAAAGCTGTGCCAGGGGAGGTTTATTTGCAAACTTTTTTTTACTGAGAGGGTGATCAAACTCTGGAACAGGCTTCCTAGAGAGGTGATCAGTGCACCCCATGCCTGTCCAGTTTTGTCTGGACAATGCCCTTACAATGCTTTAGATTCTGGTCAGCCCTGGAAGGGTCAGAACTAGATGATTGTTACAGGTCTCTTCCAACTGAAACAGTCTTTTTTTTTACACTGGGGTGGTTAAATTCATTGGGTTGGTTTTAAGTACCATTTATCTATAAGCAGGGCCTGTGTTTTCTCTCTGATTCCTGGCAATGGCAGCTTTCCTGTGTTCTGTCAACTCAGCGAGTTAATGGGGAAAAGCGTGACTACAGAGCTGGAGCATTTAACCTGTTTTTCCTTTTCTCTTTACCCTTCCTTTCTTCTTTCAACCTTTTCTTTTTTTGACACCTAATTGTAGGGTTCCACTCATCTGCAAGTACACACATAAATTTATTAGGAGACAGGATGATTTGTAACCTGGTATAAATTGGAACTAATAAATGTGACCAACAGAGGTAAAGTTCTTCACTATGAGTGTGGTGAGGCACTGGCACAGGTTGCCCAGAGAAGCTGTGGCTGGCCCCATCCCTGGCAGTGTTCAAGGCCAGGCTGGACAGGGCTTTGAGCAACATGGTTTAGTGGAAGGTGTCCCTGCCTGTGGTGGGGGGGGTTGGAACCAGATGATCTTTAAGGCCCCTTCCAAACCAAACCATTTTATGATTCTGTGATAATGCAAATTCCTGCCTGCACACTGAAGAGGATCCATATTATTTAAACTATGATTCATTCTAAGAAACAGACAGCATAAAGACTTGATAATTTTAGCGTTTTTTTGGTGTTTATTTTGGGGTTTTTTGTTTGGTTTTTTTTTTTTTGAGGGATAAGAAAAGGAGGAAAGTGGGAGCTCTGACAACAACTACAATGATTTTAACATTCTAGGGGCCCTCTGAATTCCAGCTTATTGGAAGTCATTTTCTGCTTTTTCCCTTTATCTTCCTTCTGCTACTTTTTTTTTTTTTGACTACCATTCACTCCCCATCCTTCTTACTACTTCATATAAACACCCTATCATTCCCCTCCGCATTGCGTCCTTCCTGTTCCCACCTCCCACATCAGCATCGGAAAGATGCGTCGATTCTGCTGCTCACTGCGAATGCTGCCAGCCTCTCTCCCTTCTGCTGCTGCTTATGATTATGAAAATAAAGCCGATACCAGGCCAAGCATTGACAGAAGCAGGGCAAAACACCAAGCAGCTATAGTAGTATCCTAGAGAGTAAGAGGCCTCACACTGCTGATTCTTGCATGCACAGCAAAGTCTAGTTACTGCTGTGAGGAGGATGGCCTGAACATTTTAAAATACTGGGTTGAAGCAGAATTATTGATAAGCATTTTCCTGGCCAAAAGACGCATCAAAGCATTCTGCCAAGCCTTGAGGTGACTCAAGTTTTAAGCCAAATTCTGTGATTTGCCAAAACCTTACATTAAATTGAGGAAGGCAAGGCAGCATATTGCTGACATTTCTATGATATGTACCGTGCATATCTTAACATGTACCAGAATTGGTAGGACAGACTAATATGAAAACATAGAAAATAGAGAAATCGCTACGGCAATTCCATATGGTAATTTTAGTAAAGAAATTACTGGGATAATATGGTTGAGCATGTCCAGTGTGAACTATGTAACATTCAGGCTCTTCAATAGAGGCAATGTGACTTGCTGAAATGCCTGACAACATTTTCTGACAATTTTTGTTGCTGTGCAAAACTCTTTTGCCCGTAGTGAGAGGTTACTAGCTCAGAAGTGATGGAAGTTAACTGCCCAATGATGATCTGGGCTGATGGAAGAACTTTCCCCCGTTGCCATTTCTACAGGTGATAATTCCTGGCAGAATAATTGAGCAAGAGAGATACCGACTGGCTATGAAATCTTAAATCCATGCCAAAAAAAAGTTGTTAGAAGACAGGAGGAAAGAGGACTAAGGAACACAACATCCCTTACAGTGCTGTGCCTTCGTGTAGCTGGTAAAAACGCAGTGGCTGCTCCATACTCAAGTCTGAATTCTTACTGTACAGAGAGGGAAAAAAGAGATCAAGTTTTTGTTATGCATTATACAGAACCAAAAATGGGCACATACTAAATTATTTTTCCTTTTTGGGTCACCTTTCAGATCATAAGGTCATTATAAACTGTCTCAGCACTTTTACAAACTGGAGTCTGCTCAAACCATAATACTTAAAAGTTTCACTTTGAATAGGCCTAATTTTCTCTGTCATTTGTTTTCACTTTTTATTTATCTGCAGAACATAAAAAGTCAGAAAAAGATTTTATTTTCCCCTACATATCACATAATTTACATCAGTCACCCCAGGACACCACTGGGGTGTCATTTAAATACAATGAATATAAAGTAATGAAGTTCTTGCTGGAGAGGATGGCCACAATTCTCGGAGAAAGAGAGAGAGAGAGTTTCCAAAGCATGTGGAGAAAACACAACAGGAGACTGAGTGAATTCATCACACCACAAAAATGTCTCTCTCCTGTCGACAAAGTCATTAAAGGAAAATGTACCATTGTTACTCTAGATGCTTGCATTCCTTTAGCATAATAACCTCAGTATAGAAGCATTGGTGCGAAGAGAATTTGCACACACAAGAGAAAGAAAAAAATATTAAAAAAAAAAAAATCCCTATTATGTAATGAAAGAAATCCTCCATGCTCCAAAGAGATGGAGCCTCTGCAGAAGCCACAACTAATAAGGAACCATATGCAGTGGTACAGGATGGTTTCTTTTCCTCCTGCCAACAAGTCGAAGTAAATGCCAACAGGGACAATTCCTTTCAGATAACCCACAAATTATATTCTCCTGTAATTACACAAATGTTCTGCCTTTTGCTGATCCGTAGCCATCCCGGTTTTTAACATCCCTTTCCCATTTCCCTTTTCATATTCATTTACTTCCAGTAATTTCTTCAGTCTCCATTAAAGCAATCTGTTAGGAATGCAGAGATTAGAAAGGTTTGCTGTGTTCAATTTTATTTAATTCTTTGGCGAAGGGTGCCCAAATAAGAGAAAGTGTCACATGCATACAGTAAATAATAGCATATGCCAGTTTCAGAAAATAGGTTGTATTTCTGTGTATATCTCCCTCAAGGAAATACCACTTTAAAGCAATCCACCATGCAGTCCCTGGTAAAAAAGGTACTGTTCGAAAGCTGCAGCAGAAAGCCTTCCCTTTATTATAAATTATCCTATGGTATGGCAAAGTTCTGTTTGCTGTACTATTTAAAATAGAAACGTGCTAATTAAATTATGACTTTTATTGTCAAAACCATATAGAAATTTAATACATAGAAATACATAGTTTTTTTTTAATAGAAAAGCACTACATTGATTAAAGCAAGGGAAATTTGTCTTTGTTTTCAGCAGCTGCATTGGAACAGGGAGCCTACTCAGAAATGAGCAAAGTACTATTGGGGAAACGTACCAGCAAACACCAAATCATACGTGTTAATTACAACAAATATGCTTGCAGACAACAGTGAGCATGCCAGTTACCCATCATTTACTGCCACTGAAGCGCAGGGAAGTGAACTGGTTTGCTGGCAAGTGTCCCAATTAATTGGGCGTGCTATTTATTAGGGCGCTGATTAAAGTGTACTCTGCAATATAATAGTCAAGTATGAAGTTGCCAGCTCTTATTTACTCCTGGCTCATATGGATGAAAGCAGGAGAGTACACTAGCACAATATGAAATAATGGCATATTCTGTGCCAAAATGGATTTAAGGCAATTGCAATACCAGGAAATTAAAGACCTGAAGAAACAGAATTAGGGAGCACCATGATCCTGAAGATCGAAGTTTGTGTTGTGTAATCCAGTTGCGACCAAGACCTTCAATCTATAGTAGTCATTTTGCACATGTATTAATGCTCCTTTTGGATGCAAACATCATATGCACACCCTTAAGTAAGCAACATACAAATGAAACAGAAAATATGATAAAAGCAGATGTTCATTCCTGACAGATCTGAGTCAATTCACTTGAAGAGAAACTACTTTGAGAGGTCCTTTTCCCAGGCACAGGCTCTTTTCAGCCTCTCCAGTTAACTGCCCTGAGACTGTAGCTTAAATGATGCTGGTTTGTTGTATGCTATTCAAAGCCATGGCTTCCAGAAGTGAGGTTGGGAGTTTCCACAGACAAATAAGGAAAACTTATGCTAATAATTGTATACATTATCTGAAGTAACGCTTGAGGTTTGATCTCAACCAAGATAACTGCCAGAGCAAACCAAAATCATGATTTGTAGCAGCAAAGAACTTGGTCCTGGATCATTCTTAGCTTACCTTGTTAGCACTAATGCAAGATCAGGATAGAGGGCCCAAATGGCCATGATTATTAATGAACTTACAAGTCTGCACATGCTT